TATGGGCGGGGGGGTTGGGTGGTGAGAAGGGGGTCCCATGAGGGGGGAAGGGGTCAGAGGTCAGGGGGCGGAGCTACAGTAGGACCAAGAGTCCCTCTAGTGGCCGGAGTTTCCCTGCCCCGCGGGGGTCCCTCTGACTCGGGCAGGGAGGGCTGTAAACAAGGAGGGGGCTCCCCCCCACTGATATGTGAGGTTCGATCCCCCCGCTGCTCTCAATGTTGGAGAGGGGCTCTGGCCCCCCCAGGAGGGGGGTTAACCCCGCTCCAGTGGGCGGTGGAGGGGCTGGGGGGTCACCGTGGTGAGCGAATGGGGACATAACACTGATGGGGCAGGTGGGGGCTGGCCCCCCCCCCCGGCACCAGGCAGCACCTACGTGCCCCCCCCCCCAGGAGATCGACTGCGGCATCGTGAGGACCCACACCCGGGTGAGACCCTCACCACCTGCCACAGAAAGTAGCCCATGACCTCACAGGAAGCAACCTATGACCTCACAAGAGTAACTGACTACCTTGCAGGAAGTAACCTAAGCCCTCGTAGAAAGTAGCTCACCACATCAAAGGAAGTAGCCTATGACCTCATAGTAAGTAACCTACAACCTCATAGGAAGTAGCCAATGACCTCATAGGAAGTAGCCTACATCAAAGGAAGTAACTGACTCCCTCACAGGAAGTAGCCCACAACCTCACAAGAAGTGCCTACAATTTAGCAGGAGGTAGCCTATGACCTCATAGGAAGCAGCCTACAACATCACAGGAAGTAACCAATGGCCACCCTGGAAGTTGCCTAGAATGTCACAGGAAGTCACCTCCAAGGTCACCAGACCTCTCCTGTGACCGCACAGCAACGCGCCACCACGTCCCGGGAAGACTCCTGCCTGCTCACAAGAATGGCCGCCGCCGGCGCAGGAAGTCACCGCCTAAACCACAGGAAGCAGCTGCCCCGCCCCACAACGATGACATCACAGGAAGCAGTTCCTGACATCACAGCCTCCCCCACGGCAGGATGTAGCCAAGCCCCCTTGCCCCCCCACCCCATGTCACATGACCCCC